GTAATGATTATTTATTGAATCGGTATTTGACTGTGTTTAATTGTGCAAAGTATTCACGGCGACTAATTATTTACTTACTTTTTTGTGTGATTATCCGTGAAAATTTTTAATCTCCACATTTGATGTCTGATGTATACAGGAATATCACGAGTGCCATTTTCAAACCTGCTCTATTCTCAAGTGTGCATACCAGCACCATTGTTTCTTGGTAACATCGGATTCAGCGCATCTCAGCTTTCAGAAAAATATATATGTCGTTGAGGGATTTTGCTTACTTCAAGAGATATAACTGATTTTCTATAGACATGTCAAAATTTGATCTCTGATCAACGATACAGTTCTACGAGAATATCACGATTACCGTTGTCAAACTAGCTGTATGCTCAAATTTGCACAGCAATACCATTCTTTCTTGGTAAGATCAGATTCAGAGCATTCTCATTCTCAGCTTTAAGGAATGTGTATACGTTATAGTGTGATCTGGCATATTTTCCTTATATACAGTTCAGTTAAGCCAGGTATGTCGTACAGCTGAGCGATCGTAGTACTATAGGATTATCGTATGTACCATTTTCGAAGTGTCTGTATCCTCAAGTTTGCTCAGTATCATCGTTGTTTCTTGGTACTATCGGATTCAGAAGATTCTCAGCTTTCAAAATACTACATATGTTGCCGGGATTTTGTTTAGTTCAAGAGATATAAATAATATTCTAACACGATTCATATAAGCAGCAAACATCACCGTATAACTGTCTCTCTGTGCAGTGTTAAAGATAAAAAGTGCATGTTTAATATAAAAACGTAGTTTGTGTATTCATATTCATCAGTTTATTCACTTGTCTCTTCATTTATGAAGAGTAATTCCAGAGAGATGATAAACGACAAAACATCACGACAATATCTCGTACCACATAACACTATCCGAATAGAGGAACTGTTCACGACTTCGCAAACTTCAGAATGCCACTTCCCTTTCCGATTAAGTACTCTAATTTCGAATCTAATTCCACGAATTTCCAAACGAAGTCCCAACTACGTGCCCTTTTGTATGCACCTTTGTACGGCTCAAGTACGTTTTGGATTGCATTGGTTGCTTCCATCAGATGATAATGTGGGATTCGAGTGAAGAAGAAATGGTGTGCCACATGTCCTACAAAACACAACAAATTAATATATTTATTAACAGAAGCCATAAGCAACCAACCATCAGTAATGTGATGAAGCGCACTGTCAATCCCAAACCCAAAAGTTCGGTCGACGGTCTGCAACTGTCCTCTCACGTAATTCCAATGTCCTTCTTCATAAACCTCAAATTTTACTTCAATTGCAGTATCTGATTATCAATATTATCACCATATACAACAATGCTAACAGAACGTAATAACAACAACGTACCTCCACCTCCTCGAAGTGATGTTGCAAATATGTGATAATTATGAGCCATAGGCCTTGGAACAAGATCGGTACATAGTAATACTTGAGAAATGTATATATACTATAGTCACACACTCGAAAAGCTACCTGTAATATCATTGATCACATGATAGTCAACCAACTCATCAATCGCAATCAATCACTTATGTAATAACTCACATAAGCACAAGTCAAGCATGCCAAACCACTAATACAACACTGCAATCGCTCCCGATTATTCGTAAACAATCGCGAATATGGCCAAAAATGGCTTCCATCAGGCAGGCCAACCATCGTATAGATGGGATTCCATCTGAACAATTTCAATATCATCCATGCATCATCAATCCAATCACCAATATGTTGAGATGTAGCATGTATAAGTGAAATATTTTAGTGTTATTGTTGAATGAGATCTGATAGAAAAGCAGTGAAATCACCTCACAAGCCCAGTGATCGGTATTTTTGACAACGTCTTTACGAAGCTATTTCTTTGCTTATACTCTTCTTCGACTGTCCATGGATGGCCCTTCAAATTAATTTATATTCATATGATATGTTTTCTCGAGCGATTCAACTTAACGATTCAAACTGACCAAAACGAACAGTAACTATACCTTATCCTTATCGAGATGAGAAGTAAACTGATGATGTTGTCGATGTGATTTTTGCCACGGCCAATAGGGTGCTAAAATGGGTGCGTGAGCTATATGTCCGAATAAGTCGTTGATGAATGTATACTCAGAGAACGTTCCGTGACCACAGTCGTGTCCTACCACGAACAGTGATGAGCCGAACATGCCCATTAACCAATACCTCAATTCGTTCGCATTATCACCTCGATATTATTCTTTAGCTTACAATTTAAATCGAAATATATATTGCAAGCGATAAACGATAAATCTCTTAAAATTTACATCAGATGTCAATAAATTCGAGATAAAAATAAATGACCACTAACCATATAAGCAGTCCACCAAACCCAAAGCATTCGAAGTAGCTAACGGTGTAATAAAGGATCGCGATCACTGCGAAATCGAGTATCAGATAGAACAAAGATTTGCAAAACGATCGTTCAAAGCATTCTGGTGGTATCGCCTTTCGAATGGTTTCGATTGATGGTAACTTGTCGCATTCCTGATATGTCTATTGTTGATCGATTGATACATCTGATTGCATTTGTATAAAAACAGTAACAATGATAATGAATAAGTTAACAAACTCACAGTAGTCTCTTCAGTGATTTGAGTTCCAGTAACCGAACGAGATGCCATTCAAAAGTAAGTGAAACTGACAACTGAAATGATATATATGAGTACTCTTACATAAATATCACAAGCGTCAGCAGTGTCAAAATCGATAACAACCCGCCTCCGACAACCTTTGAAAACACTTCCTTCCTCATCATGCGCCTCCTATCATTATGGCGTGATCTCTGCATCAATCACCCAACTATTGAGTAGTGGTGAATCGCACACTGTTATTTGTTTTGCACTATCAAATATTTCAGCAGCTATTACTATTCTCCACAATACAACAAATTTTTTCAATGCAAACACCTGATATTGCGGTGTAATAACACCCTCAAAATATCACATCTCAATACCAAACTCTTTATTCAGTCACCATATTCACTACGGTCAAAACACATAAATCTCCTAAAAAAACTAACTATGCGAGCGATCATAATAATGCTACCACGAACAGTAACTCATTTTAAATGATATTCGTTTCAATGCAATCCAGCACGATAAATCATAAGGCATGATTACCTGGACTGGTCAGGCTATCAAACGTTTTTAACGTTGCTGGCGTTTTAACATTTTTTAACGTTATTTATCATAAGGCTTGATAGATAACGCATAATACAATAATCACAATACATAATACAATAATCATAATACATCATACATGATAAATAAATACATTCAAGCAGAATGATAAATACAATGCAATAAAATAGTCGATAAATAAAATGAAATAAGATATAATCTATCATCAAATTCTCCACAAACCAACTATCCAAACAAATCCATCGAACGAATGGAGTCAAACAAGTCAGAAATTGTGCGTTCTATGGTGCATAAATCTTGTGACCCGCACAATTGCTGAGGGTAATTAATGTGTCGTGGTCATCTAACCACTTCCTCATTCATTTCATCAAGATCGATAGAACTTCGTTCGAAGACTAACCAAAAATTTCGGATTCAGACCAAATATTTCGACGTTTGGTCGGAACACTGAATTTTGCAATCTCAAAAAATGAATTCAATCGGATTCCAACCGAACCGGTTTTGCTCAGTTACCATCAATAAGGTGAAAGTTGTACATCGGTGTTGATGGATTGTACTGTTGCACAGAAATTGTGCGTTCTATGGTGCATAAATCTTGTGACCCGCACAATTGCTGAGGGTAATCAATGTGTCGTGGTCGTTCTAATCGCTTCCTCATTCATTTCATCAAGATCGATAGTAGAAATCTTTGTTCGAAGACTAACCAAAAATTTCGGATTCAGACCAAATATTTCGACGTTTGGTCGGAACACTGAATTTTGCAATCTCAAAAAATGAATTCGATCGGATTCCAACCGAACCGGTTTTGCTCGGTTACCATCAATAAGGTGAAAGTTGTTCATCGGTGTTGATGGATTGTACCATTGCACAGAAATTGTGCTTTCTGTGGTGCACCTCACCATTTTTCTTTTGCTAAACAAATGACGCATACACCATAGTCTGCATTTCAAGAGTACAAAGTGTACCCATTTTTTCGTTGATAACAATCCGTTGCTATTTTAGAATATATATCGTTGTTTGCTTTTTGCAATGGAACGTTATTCTCATTGCCTACAGTCGAACAGAATGCAATGCACGTAATCAGTGTTTATATCACACTTCATCCCAACTATCACTATCGAGATCATCCCAGTTATCATTATCGCCACAACTGATTGCTCTTCTCATCCCGCGAGCACTGATGCCTAATACCAAAAAAATGACCCAGCTCCGGCTCGCTCTGATAGACGAAATTATGATCTGTGAGGAAGTTGAATATGTTGTTGATTGATAAAGTATGGATGCTCCTAAGACTTGAAAAACCCGCATAAATCCAGCCACGTCTCGAATCGAACACGACAATTAAATCTCTCAAGAAATAGGCATCATCCGTGTATCCTCAAAGCTATCGTTCTCAGAACAGAGTGAACCATGAAGTATTGGTAACTTTACCAACGAATAGTGAGCACCGAAAAGAACTCCGAGAAAAAGTTCTACATTCTAACTCGGAAGTGGTAGTGGAACAAATAAACCTTTACATAAGCCATCTAATAATGGAAGCACCAACATAAGAAGAGAAATTTACAAAACTGGATACGATACATCAAAGATCTTGTAGAAAGATTAGCTTTAACCACCAAATTCATAAATTTAACTCTCGTTTTCATGGAAAAGCCAATAACATTGAAACTGTGAAATGGAGAAATTAAGCATGTGTTATGCATAGATTATGTGTTGTTCGTAGAAGGCAGGAATGAAAGCGAATCGGTAATGTAACTGAAGTGAATGAGAAAATCATTACGTTATGACGGAAAAATCGTGTCGTTAACAAAATCAAGTTCAAGAGTGATGAGACATCATGGAAATCCGAAATGAAACCGATGTGACAGGTGAGTTATACATGATCATGTGTAGAATATGCAAACGATCGTCCGCATTGCTCACGAATTGCCTTTCGACTAGAAACTATTATCCTCTACCCTGTTCATTCGTAATACTCTCTCTTCCGCGTTTATAACTGCTCCCCATTATCTCTCATCACTCTGAAAGCTGATTTTATAGTGTGCGTTATTTCTTGGTAATTTTCTTGTTCACTTCAGCCACGTCTCTGCATCGCTCTCATCCCTATTCCTCCGAATATTCTTCACTCTCTTCATTTGTTTCCATCGGATTATCACTTGAGTCGACTTTATAAAAATGACGAAGCGATTTGCCACAGCGCACTGGTTTTATTCGATCACAGCAAGAAATGTCCGTAGTCGTCCGCAATCTATGAATTCACAGCAATATAAATGTACAGCATACAACGATGTAGGATGTAAGCAATGAGATGATGACTGAACAATTCAATCCGGCAGATGATGAAAGGTTAGACAAATGACTGTTGATTCTGGATATTGAACTGTTTCCGAAAAATAATTCCACGGGGTTGGATGATCGGGTATGAGTTAAATTCAATAGAATGTGTTCATAATAGTGTGCAGAGTAACTGTGATTGTTGATTAGGTTGGTGAAATCATTTCACG